AGTTTCAAGTTCTCATTTTACAGTCAATCGATAGAGAATTGAATTCTCTACAAAACCTGTAATTTTAATCTCTGATAGCATTTTTCCTGTTTGAGTACCAATCAGAATATTGAAGGGTGCTGAGTTGTCGAAATGCGACGTGCTTTTGATGTCTCCTTCTTCGAGATTTCTATCCCATTGTCTGATGTTCAACAGCTAATTTTTCTACGTAGAAAGATAGAGAATTTTGTGTTCTATTGATCTCATTAATATAAAACTTTATACAATGTTTTCGCTACGTCAGCTGGACTCATAATTAATTCTCAACCGGCTTTTCACTTTTTCAAATTAAATTAATTGCTTTAATTAATGATTTGAATTGAGAAACTTTCTTTATATATCAAAAAATGCAGACTTTAAGTCTGTGTAAGATGGTAAGACTAGAACTCTGGATTCAGAACGTTTTACTGCTTTTATAGCCGAAAAACTAAAGTGTATGAGAAATAGGTTCAGAAGTTAGGTTTTTTTAGATTTATCATTTTTTGCACAGAAAGTTTTCTAGAAAAGTGAGCTGCAAAAATGTCGAAAAATACGTGAGAAGATGCAGAATTTTTTAGTGAATCTTCTGATGTTTTCAAAATTCTTATGGAATCTGTTTTTGGATCAAGGCAAATATTTTTCTATTTTCAGTGTGTCGCAGTTCGACAACTCAGCGCCCTTCAATATTCTGATTGGTACTCAAACAGGAAAAATGCTATCAGAGATTAAAATTACAGATTTTGTAGAGAATTCAATTCTCTATCGATTGACTGTAAAATGAGACCTTGAAACTTCATAGAAGGGGATTAATAAACAAGAACAAAAGTGGCCGGTTTTATCAGGCCCACCCGTTATTATAACACAGTTAATTTTTGTAGAGAGTAAGGGAAAAAGATTAGAATATAGGATGAAACTTTTCAATTGATCTTCTACAAACAATAAAAAAATCGATTGTTTGTCAGTTTTAACACGTCTTTATGACTTTTTACATATGCATCTATAGAAATCGCAATGGATAGCTAAGTTTGGTATGTGACATTGTTTGTTTTCAATTACAAAATCATAGTTTTGAAGAAATGTGCGTGTAAGCAAATTGTCATTTTTGATTGATTTGTTTTTAGATGACTTCTAGAACTACTAAGTATCGTCGTCCAAAAAGGATACAACAATTTTGCCGTTTAACACATGCAGATATAAGTTTTGGTATGACTTTTACAAAGCTCAACTTCATTTCGAAATGCATCAACCTTTTTGGAGTCTTATGGTTCATATTTCTCACCCATGGAGTTTCTACATTTCTTTTTCCTCAGCGATCTGTCAAGCAGACGTTCCTATACAAAATGAGGCGTCTGCTAGTTTAATTTAACATTACTTTTCAGGGTTTTCAACCATTTTCGGAGAATTTCAGGAAAAAATTGTTTGGGCAGGTATTAAGACTTTTTTCAGTCAATTGTCCCAGACTGAGATCGTAATGCAGAGCTATGTTAGTCATCAATCTATAATGTTAAAAAGAGTTACATTATTTCTGAGAAATACAAACTTTCTTATAGAAGTTCGAAATAAAAGTGTACATCTAACTGATAGTCTATTCATTTCCATATAAGTGATACAGCAAATACGTCAAATATAACTAGTATCAATGTTACTACAAGTGGTCAAGTCAATGATGAAACAAAACATATATTAGTTGAAAGTAAGTAGCACTAGTATTGTTTTTTATTATGCACATCATCGCATTCAACTCACGTTGTTCAACCTCTTGACATGTCATTCTTTAACCCTTTTTTGCGGCGGGTATCCCATAAACTGTATTACGGTACCAATAAAACCACCACACTGTACTCTTCCCGTAAGTGAAATTGTCTTCTGTTTACAAAGACACATTTCACAAAAATGACGAATAAACTGAGAACACTCAGATAGAAACACAGTAAATAGAACGTTTTTTTTGCCATATAATTAAACAAAAGCGGAGAAAATCTGTTTTTGCGACGGAACGAAATCTATAAGAGAAATTTGTTGACGTGTTGTTCTCGCCCACTTCTAGTTGGCAAAACATTTCGTTTCTGAACTCTGATAGTTGGATCGATTATCAATATAGTTGTTGATAGTGTGCCTTTTTTCTTCTTACGTCCAATTGTTGTATTTTCTCGATACATACAATCATTAACATCATTGTTGTTGAATTTTCTCAATTTTTGACTGGTTATAGAATTTTTAGTATTTAATTTTCTTGAATATTGATATGTTATATCCTGTTGTAAATTAATTTTGTATTTTGTTAATCGTTGATAGTTATTGAAGAGATTTGCTGTTTTCGATGGATAATGCAGACTAGTATCAGCACTCTTTGCACGTTTACTATTGTATGGTGAATAAAGAACGGAATAAAAGTTGATTGGACTTAATTTTGTTGCATTATGATTAGTTTTCGGTGTTCGTGATCGATATTTACATTTACGCTGATGATTATTGTATATATGAGAGACAGTCATTGGTGTTTTAATTGTTGTAGTATTTTGTGGATGAACCGTTTGTGCATCGTCGTCAAGCAGTTCTAGCAACAATCTAATCAGTATATTATTATTTTACTATTATAAATATCGCATATGTAAAGACTTACTTCATATTTGAAGTTTTTCTATCGATAAATGTATGTATGTTGAGTAATAACAACAGCTTTTTTATTCTAATCTTCTTGCTGAATTTGATGAGAAACTCCAACTGTATTTATATACACTTTTATTTTCTCCTTAGGAACGTTTTACTTTTAAAAACACACGAATTCAATTAAAATGAACAAAGAAATATGTATAGAATAAAAAGTTAATAATGTAAATGACTGAATTTCATAATGGAAAAGGTGAGAAAAAAATAAATATTCAAAGAACTTCTACTTTATGTCTGTTCTGTTCTCAAGAATTTGTTTTTTTCGATGAAAATATTTATCTATGATTTGCGTTCATAAACAGTTATTACTTGGACGTAATATTATAGATAGATTTTAACAGCAGACATTTTAATAGACAAATGATTAAGTTTATACCGTAAGAGTCAGAGAGAGACCATGTCACTATGTGGATTATTAATTTCGGATCAAAAGAACTGGACACAGTGAGAATGAGAATATTAGAAACAATTGATAATTTACACTTAAAATCTCGATCTGTGTGTAGAAAACACGAATGTGCTAAGAAAAAACAAGATCAACAGTTATTGATATGTATCCCACTTTCGATCATTGAAATTAAGCATTGAATATTAAAGAGAAAACGTGTACAATATTTCAAGACATGTAAGATCTAACATATTTTAAAAAGTACATCATTACGTCTGGTGGAATATCGACATCGAGAAGGACGATTGTTTCTTTATCATTATGAGAATCGATATGAATAATACGAGATTAGAATTTATATCACTCCGGTGCTTACTTTTGCTAAAACTATGAAAAAAGCTTTAAAAAAATTGAAAAATTTGAAACTCTTTAATTACAAAAGTTAATTATCTCAGTCAAGGTCCATAGAAAAAAATTTCATTTTTACCAGTCGAGAGCTTATAAAGTCTCTAAGGTTGGAACAAAATTCGGTTCTGATATGACGCTTCGTTACTTTTGTATATCTGTTTTATCAATGCCGACGGGTGTGGACATCCGGGGGTTAAGGACCATTATACTTGGTCAGGAGCAAAGATTTTAGAACTGATAAAATAGTAAGCTGGTTTTAGATTCACATATGAATCTAAAATCAGCTGTTGTTTTATCACTGTTTTATCAATTCATTAAAAAGTACTTGAGCTTTTCACTAGGGAAAGCTCTTGTCTTCACCGAGAAATTCGAAGTTTACATGTTCGTATTTTGCAGATTCTATATCGTCGTAAAGCACAAACACCATGTTCCGACTACAACTCAAAGTAACTACAGTATTAGTTACTATTTAAAACGATTTTCTTCTAAAATTTTTCAACAAACCGAGGTATTGCAGATAATTTTTTTTTCTGAATAGAATGAATTTTTATTAAATTGTAACATATCGAGCAAGCTCATTGTATATTGCCAAAAAAAGAAAAAGTGATATAATACTAAAGTCATGAGAGTTTCTTCACTGTAAATTATAAGTCAAAAGTTTTAGAAAATTGATAATATTTGACGTAGTCCGTTCTTCTCCCCCTCCGCTACCTTGAGCATAGACTTTATATGTTAATACAACAACGACTCCTGCAATAATCAAATATCAGGTAATTTTCTGATGCTATAAATACAAAAGAGAATGTGCTTGTATAGTAAGAACGGTGTAAGTGTTTTAGTCCCATCAAACTATCACGATTAATTGTTAATTCATATATATTTTGTAGAGAATTTTTCAAGGGCTATTCAGTCGCATATTTATTTAATGTCATAGTTGGAAGCAACTTGAGAAAATTATGTTTCATGGATCTCGTACATATTCTTAGACAGGCGTTCACTGGCGTTCTATTGACAAAAAATCAAAAGTAAATAAAATTACTCAGTTGAAATGGAATACCTTTCCACTACCTACAGAATAGTTTTGACGTAAAAAAAACTAAACCGACCGCTTGTCGATCTGATTAGGGATGTACCAAGCCTTGAGATCTTGCAGCAAAAATCGCATATTCTTGATATGCAAAACCACTGAACCTTGATCTCAGACGTAATCAGTTCTCTCTACTTACTCCGAAATCGGTGATAGAATTGAGCAAATTGCGCAAGACGATATCAAGCTTGGAGAAAGATCTAAAAAAAAGGCGATTTTCACCCAGTGTTGTCAAGCTTAATATCGTTTTGCTCAATTTGCTTAATTCTATCGTCGATTTCGGAGTAAGTAGAGAGAACTGATTACATCTCAGATGAAGGCTCAGGAGGGTCTGATGCTCTTGAGATTTTCTGCCGCAAAAATCGCATATTCTCAATGCCCAAGGCCTTATACATCCCCAATCAACCTTACACGAACCTTTCCTTTTCTGTAATAGCTGATCTACAGTGTGGCCAACATATGATCATACAATGAGGAAAAAATTTTTCTCTCAAATATCTTTCATTGTGGCGAGATCACTATTATACTGGTGGGTAAACTGTAAGTAAAAAAGTCCTTGTTCACTTTTCTTGGTCAGGATCTGTTTTTCTTCCTGACCATTGAAAGAAATCAAGAACAGGACCTGCTTTTTGAATAAGCATCACGCATTTAACTAATACCCCGGCGTTAAAAGTGACTATAGCTTATTAGGTTTGATTACATCATGTTTTACTTGGACTTTTAACAGTTTCTGAGGTTTTTATCAGTCCCATGATCCCTTTAGGACCTCACCATTTTTATCTGCAAATGGAAAACTGCATGTTTTTACAGAAGTCATACATCAAAGACAAAGGATTCAGTGCAATTACACAGCAATTTTGGCTCTAATGCCTCATGTAAACCCTCCTTGCGTTTTCTTGCCACAATGTTGAACTATTTTTGATCTGTTGTAAGTTAATGATAAGGCCTGAGACTTCCAGTCAAGAAATTTTCTATCTTGGATGAAGTTTTCTATTTCGCTTCATGTGCTTCTCAATTATGACTCGACATATAACGGGCATTGATCTCAAAATATAGATGAGAACAGTTGCTGTTTTATGATTCGCGTGTGAACATTACCAACAAGGTAACGTTTGCCGCATGCGAAGAAAGAATTCACGCTTAAACTTTCAGAGAATGTATACCTGTAGATATTATCGCTAAGATCAGTTCCTTATTAGAGCCAATCTAATTCTGTGAATGAGGCGGAATGGCTGCAGATCATCTCACAGGGACTTCATCTACTGTTTTCTGTAATCACGAGTGATTGTGGCGGAATTGATAGAAAAATATATCTGAAACTACTTTCAGATCTAAAAATAGCGGGAATTCTGGGGTTTCTGCTAAAAAATCCTAGAAAAAGAGGAGAGGTCTTGGATTAAAGAGGATCATTCACA